TGAAGGCCAGGAGCACAGTCCGAGACATCGACCCACAGAACGACCTCACCTTTCTCCGAATCCGGTCCAAGAAACATGAGATCATGGTTGCTCCAGGTAATGGGGCCCTTTGTCCCCTGTGGAAAAAGCTCCTTTCTCCTGCCCTGGGTAAGAGCTTTGTCTCAGAGACGATGAAGGATAGATTTTAAGACAGAGCAACATGATACATAATAGCCTGAGATTTTTTTTTTTTTAAGGGAAGAAGTTCGAAAACAGTCCAACCTGCAGTGTAAAGTGAGCCATCAACACGCATTTCCAAACAGCCTGAATTCATTGTTAACAATCAGGAAATTTAGGAAATATAGGTCTCGTTTTTAGAAGCCTTAATGGCAAAGGAATTATGCCTTGGGCTGCTAACCACAAAGTCAACGTTTCGAAACCACCACTCGCTCTGTGGGAGAAAGGCAAGGCTTTCCGTTCCCATAAAGAGTGACAGTCTCAGACACCCACAGGGGCCGCCGCTCTACCCTGTCCTGCAGGGTCGCTATGAGTTGGAATCGACTCGATGGCCGTGAGGTTGCTTTCATTGGTCAGAGGTCTCGTTTGTCGTAAACCTAAGGTAGAGACTCTCTGGAGCTGGTGAGAAAGATTATAGAGATGAAGCTTGGGGAGAGGTAGTCAAAGATCGAAGTCAATGAGAGGCCAGCAGGGTCTTAAACCCACAGCTCCGTGCTGTACCAGAAGGCTGCAATCCACACAGACACTTCAATCCCTGAAGGAAAAATGGGCACTACAGCCAAACGGTGCCCCGTGCTGCCCTCCATCTGACTGACAGCAAATGTCTGTGTGGCACATCTGTATAAATCAGAATCCCCCTGAATCTGAACAGTGCCTGTTCAGCACCTGTGTTCTCATCTCAGCTACGCCTTACGGTGCTATGCCGGTCCACACAAGTCCATGTGATGCCTTGAAATACTCACCTCCTGAATTTCCTGTGTTGAGTGACTTACCTGTGGCCCCTCTCTCCCCAGATAAGGAGTACCTCCTGATCGTCATCCAGAACCCATGCGAATAGACCTGCTCTCCCGCCACGCCTGTCCTGCCCTTGAGTGACGGCTCCAAATGGACGCCCGTCAAAGTGATCTTTTGGACTCTATTTTCTACGTTTACATTGCAACCGTTCCTCCTGTCCCACACTGACTGTATTGTAGCATTGTACCTCAGCTGTGTAATAAACAAACCCCGGTGTTGTGCCTGCAAACCTGCGTTGTTTCTAATATCCAAATAGAAGGCTTCTAGGAAGAAGACAGCCTGCCTTACGACGTGGCTTCCAACCCCTAAGTCCCAACCCAACCCCAGGCTCTGCCATCTAGTCAATGCCAACCGAGGGAACCCCGGCGAGCAGGGTGGTAGAACTAACCGCCCCTGTGGGTTTCTGAGATTGTCGCTCTTTATGGGAGTAGAAAGCCTCGTCTTTCTCCCCAGGGACCCACTGGTGGCTTCCAACCGCTGACCTTGTGGTTCTCAGCCCAACTGGAACCACTCTGCCAGCAAGGCTGCCCCCAAATGAGCACAGGCGGTCTAGACGGTTTTCGTGCCGATCTCTGAACATGTCAGGGAAATTCAGTGGAGCTATAAGGGAACAACAGACCAAAAATAAATAAATAGATAGATAAACAAGAAACTAACCCAACATAGTGCCATCAAGTCAATTCCAACTCATGTTAAGTCCCCGACCCCAGAGACTTGGACTTCCCAACAGACTAAGGGAGACCAGTGGGAGGTCAGAGTGTGCCTTCCAGCAGGGGGCAGCACAGTAGTTACCTGGGCTCCTGCCACCCCAGCCCTCAAAGACTCCAAACTGACTGCCATCAAGTCAATGCTGATTCCTAGCAACCCCCCTCTGTGGGTTTCCAAGACTGTCACTTTTCACAGGAGCTGCTGGTGGTTTTGAACTGCCAACCATGTGGCTCACAGCCCAATGCATAACCACTAGATCAAACTGCTGTAAAGTCAATGCCGACTCACAGCAACCCTACAGGACAGAGTAGAACTGCCCCTGAGTTTCTGAGACTGACACTCTTCAAGTCCGTCTCCCCGTCCTGGGCAAGGATGCCAACGTGTAAGGCTGATGAAGGAGGAGGGTTTTAAAATTCTTCTGCATTTCAAGCGTTCTGGAAAGGAAGCACAGGATCGATCTCCACGCACTCACCATCCATCCCGTCGATTACAACAGACCCAGAGCAGAATTGCTCTGGGCATTTCCGGACTATGACATTTCAGAGTCAGGTCACCAGGCTGTTCCACTGAGACGACTCACTCTCGGTGGGGTCAGGGAGCGGGTTCTTTATACCCCGCCCTCACACCCACTCTTTTTGCCATGCGGGTGGCTCCATGGTTAAGCACGCTGCTAACAGAAAGGTCAGCGGTTGGAATAGGCCAGCGGCTCTGCAGGACAAAGGTGTGGCCTCCTCCTTCCGTAAAGCTGACAACCTTAGAAATGCTGTGGGGTAGTTCCGCCCTGCCTTCTGGGGTCACGATGAGTCAGAATCCACTCACTGGCCCTGGGTTCCCCCTTTACAAAATTAGATGTTGGCTATTGAGATCATCACAGGCTCCCATATATTCGTATGTCACGACACAGAAGTGCCATGCGCCCTCTGCCCAGCTCCCCGCAAAGGCCACATCCCCTTAAACAGCAGTACAGTGTCACCACCAGGGAGGACATTGAAATGGCCGCGATCTAGAATGTTCTTACCACCTCTGGCTCCATAAGCTGTCCTTTTATAGCATGCCACCACCCCCTGCCACCAGTCCCCGATCCCTAGCATCCATGAAGCTTTCTCTCCCACCTTAGCATCTCATCATTCCAAGAAGATTATAGAAATAGAACTGACAGGATGTAACCTTGGGGGTTGGCTCCCCTTCATGCTGCCCAATTCCCCTGAGAGCCATCCAGTACCCAAGAGATCAATAAACTTGCCCCCTTTCCATGTACCCTCATCTTCTACCCTCCCCAGGCTGCCCAAGTTGTCCTGCACAGGGGGCCCCAGGTACAAACATCCAAGTCCATGCTATATTCACTGCCTGCTACAATAAGCCAAGTAATGAAGAATGGCTCCGGTCTAACTCAACCACACCTCTGTCCCCAGCTGACCTCCTGTGAGGGTGTAGCAGAAGGGGTAGGTGTTTTCCGCGGGAAAGGCACTCCAAGGTGACAGAGTTCTGTCCTCATGTGGCAAAGGAGACAGGTCACCTATGGAACTCCCCCAAGCGTTAGACAACGGAGGCTAACACCAAAACCCCTCACTCCCCAGAATCGGTGGACCTAAGCCTCCAGGCGTTTGCTTATGTCTAGAAAGTTTGTGTAGCTTTCTCCCCATATGTTCTACTGTATGTACATGGTTACGTGTGCAGCCAAGATAAATGCATATATACAAACATCCTCTGTCAGACCTATACAAATTCACCAGCACCCCCCCCCCACACACACACACACATAGCTGCTCAGCCTAGGTGTCTATCCACACCATCGAGTCACAGGTCACCACTATCACAGGAGTATGTATGTAACGGTATTTGCCTCTGGGGCCTTTAACTCTTGCAAACCTTCCAGTATCTCCCCTGACCTTATCCTTTTTTCCTAACCTTCCACTTAGTGCTTTTGCCTTCCCCTTCCCCTACGTCAGTGGTTCTCAACCTTCCTAAGGCCACGCCCTTGAATACAGTTCCTCATATTGTGGTGACCACCCCCCCAACCATAAAATTATTTTCATTGCTACTTCATCACTGTCATGTTGCTACTGTTATGAATTGGGCGACCCCTGTGGAAGGGTCGTTCGACACCCCCCCCCCAAAGGGGTCGCAACCCACAGGTTGAGAACCTCTGCCCTACATTAACATGTGTCTACCCTCTAACCCATGACTTCCCTTCCCACCCTTGGGAATATCAAAGAATCTTAACTTTTAGTGTGCATTGACACCAAGGGCACTTGGCATAATCAAGTTCAAAGGACAATGTTCTACCCTCTCCTTTTGTGAGGGCTGACTGGTGCCTTAAAGTCTCAGGAGCAGCTGTCTAAGGTGGAGCTGGTCTCTCCCCGTCCAGAGGTCAGAAGAGTGGTGAAATCCAAAGGAAACAATGAGTCCAGTTAACCCAAGGACCATGCAAACCTCAGTCTCCACAACCCCGGGACCAGAAGAACTAGATGGTGCCCGGCTACCACGACTCACTGCTCTGAGAAAGATCACATTAGGAGGTCCTGGATAAAGGAGGTGCAAAAATGAGGAACAAAACTCAAAATCATGAAAGAGACCAGACTTCCTGGTTGGATCAAGACCGTTGGGTCCCCCAAGATGATGGCCCTTAGTAACCCATCAGGTCTGGAACTGAACTCACCGCCACATTAGAATCATCAACCCTCTGAGATCAAAAGGGCAGTATTTACCCAAGGACAGAGTTCACAGGGTTGGGGATGGAGGTGGAACGGAAACAGGAAACACAGGGAAGACGTGGGATGCGTGATGGTAGGTCAAGGGGATTGGACGGAATCCATGAACTGAAAACAAAATCATGTGAACAGTTGAATACAAAACTGATCTGCTCAGTAAACCCTCACCCAACTCACAATCGAAACTTTAAAGAACAACAGAATGAAACCAGTCTCTTCCTAATGGCAAAGCACTTCCATGCTTGGATCTGCTCACTCGATGAGAGGTTGGGAACTATTCAACCCAGAGCCTTCCAATCTTGGAGCATGGAAGTCAGATGAGCTGGGCCAGAGAGCCGATCTGTCACTCGGTGCGTGCAGGGTCGATGGCAGCTCCAGGCATGGCCCAGGACATGTAATACGATGCCTTGTCTGGGGACCAGTCCAGTGCTTCCCCATCATCAAGCCAGCTGTGCCCCACAGTCTCCAGGGGGATACTGACTGCGTCTCCAGAGAAGATGGAACAAAGCAGGAAACGAGCTCAAGCGGCAGCATGAGTTGGTACTGCGCAGCCTAGGCGCCGAATCCACACACAAGATGGGATGCGAGGAACCTAGGTGGTGGTACCCAGCTGCTGCCGGGGCCGTCTTCACACATTTTTTTTAAAGTCCCCCACGAAAAGAAAGGGAGCGCGCAGACACAATGAACAGTCCTACCTTCGCCTCCAAAACGCTTCTTGTTGTACAGCATCTACACCACCAAGTCTGTAAACATTTGGGTGGGTGTTTGTGGGTGTTGCTAGACCACTTCCAACTGGCAGACATCAGGATGCTTGGAACACCCCAGCAGGTCTCAAAAATAACCTCACCTCACCGCCATCAAGTTGATGCTGACCCAGACTGACGCTGCAGGGCAGGAGGAGCTGCCCCTGAGCATTTCCAATACTTTACATCTTTACAGGAGTATGCCTCATCTTTCTCCTGAGGAGTGATTGATGGGTTTGAACTACTGAGCTAGTAGGTGGCAGCTCAATGTTTAGCCCAGTGCATCACCAATGCCCCTCCTCAGCAGGTATTTACTCCAAATAAGGACATCCTCTTACACCCTGCATATCACACCTCAGAAACTGAACATTGGTGCAACAATATATCATAAACAGTCCTATACACATGTTCCCAATAGGCCCAATATCCTTTATAACAGTTGTATCTTTGTTGTTAACTCCAGGAGCCAATGGGTCCCCAGCATTACATTTGGGCTCCGTAGTTTGGCAGCTATTTTTAGAAACCCTTATTCTCCACCTGGCCACCTCTCGGTGGTATCAAATACATATTGGCCGTCCCTGGAGTCTTGAGTGCCACCTGCCCCATTCCCTTGAGTCCCTCCTGATTGGACTCAGACCGTCACGGCAAGGAACTCCGCAGAGAGAGGTGACAGTGCTTCACTGTTATTCCACCCCGTGGAATAACATGCCCCAACGGGTCCAACCTCACCCTTCAGCCCAGTGAGCTCAGGGTCTGAGCACCATAGCACTCAGCCACCCCGGGATGGCTGCAGTGTCTACTGACCACTGAAAATAGCAACACAATCTCCTTCAATCCCAAATGGCTGAAAGGCCTTAGTGGGGGGATATCCATTCTATCTGGAGTTCCACATTCTCCGCTGTGGGAAGGATCCCGGAAACTGTGGGTCAGGGCCCTTGGTTTTCCAGATGAGAATTTCCCCTGAGCATGGTCTCAGGGGTCTTTAAGACACCAGGTGTTTACCCTGAGGTGGGCCCAGCCTTGCTGAGGGAGCTGGCCCTTAGGCATCTTATCGGGGTGTCTGGGCT